GCTGCTACTGTTAAGATAATAAGTACACCACAGATGGTGCTTTCATTTCAAAAACAACCACAACATAAAAAAAAAAGATGAAAAAATTTTTCTGTTTAATTATTGCATGTTTTTCTATCAGATGACTTGATGATTTAGTTTGACATTGGTGTAAATTAATATTTAAGCTTCTGCTGGAACAAAACTGTTGTTGGTTTTGTTGTGGCGGCGCTGGTGGTAACGGTTCTAAATATAGGCAGACAAGATGAAGAAAAGACACGTCAAACTCCTTATCTATCTCATTTTGGCCGTTGCAAAGAGTTTATATTTAAGCCTAAATTTAAATAAGCATTCTCCTATTATCACTGCCAGTTTTAGATTGTCTCACTGGCATAATCACCATATTAGCCAACTGTATAGAAATCATAAATTAGATTAGGAGTGCGTAGATATGCAACCTGGGTTCCTTCTTTTTTGGTTCTTTTTTTGCCACTCTACGTTGGAGGTTTCCAGCTGGAAGCTCACGGGCTCCCTCTGGGTTCCTTGGCCCACTCGATGTTGAAAAACAAAAACTAAGAAACAGTTGCCGATATTAAAAGGAGATTTTGTGTAGAAACTTGAATTTCTTGCTTCCTTTGAGATACCAGATCTCTTAAAGATCTAAGGTTTTTATTTTCACATGAGAACCTTGTGAGAAGCAACTGCTCCTTTAAAAAAACATTTTTGGAGACGGGGTTTCACTCTGTCACCCAGGCTACAGTGCAATGGCGAGATCACAACTCACTGCCATCTCAAACTGCTGGGCTCATTCAATCCTCCCTCTTCAGCCTCCTGAGTAGCTAGGGATATAGATGTGTGCCATCACACCCAGCTAATTTTTAAAAATTTTTTGCAGAGATGGGGTTTAGCTATGTTGCCCAGGCTGGTCTCAAACTCCTGGCCTCAGGCAATCCTCCTGCCTCTGACTCCCAAAGTGCTGGGATTGCAGGCGTGAGCTGCATCTGGCTGCAGCTGCTCCTTTTATCATGGTTTCCACCACGCTGTTTGTCTCCCCACTTCCGAACCTGAGTCAGGGGCAATTTATCCTAATAACAGTGCCATGATTATGCCAGCTTGCCTCTCTCCTGTATCTGCCTAGTCATTATAGGCATTTCAGCTTGTGGCCCTGGCTATGCACATTATCCCTGGATATCTCATCAATCACAATTATTTCCACCTATTGTACTTTAAATAGTTCTACCTATTGCACATTTTCAATGAAGTCCGTCTCCCTAAAGCATATTGTTGGATTCAAACATAAACTATGACTTATATCAATTGCATGATATGATATGAAAAATGAAGAGTATTTTTGCCTATGTTGGTCAATGTAACTTTACAGGTTCCTTGTAAGGAAGTATCTTTTAAAAGTTAGCGCCAAGAAAAAGGAAAGATTTTCTCTCCGGAATAATTTTTAGAACATATAGTCTTTCTCTGTTTGTCCTGGCTACCAAAAAGTTCAGAACTCAATGTGTCGTAATTCTGGTAGTATTTTTTCCCTTACTTTGTGTGTTCCTCTTTCTCTATTTATAATGTTAATACTCACTATTAAAGTGAACTCACACATAGTCATGTTCTACAAACAACTTTCAACTCTTCCGTGAAAAATTGCATTCAAAGAATCAATATAGAAGTGTTATTAATGTGTCAAAGTCATCTTCCACTCTGACAACAGATTTGTATTTATAAAATATGAATTGGGCCATACCATTATTCCCTTGCTTATTCAGGATTGGAAGTGTCTTCCTCTCACATATAAGAGGTCTAATTGTTTATTAGAGTATGCAAGACCCTTATCACCTTTCTCCAACTTAACCTTCCCATCCAGGACATTCTCGACCTCTGCCCTGCAAAGTCTGTATCTCCATGATGAACTAATCATAGTTCTCCAAATGTACCACGCCAATTCCCCACCTCTTTCTTTCACAATATCATTTATCCCACCTATAATCAATCTAGTATTTTACAGGTAAGTCTACCATAACAAATATCACATTGTACTGCCATTTTTAATGAAATTAATGACTACTCTTATTCATTTTAGTCTATCTGGTGCTAACCCCAATATTTTGTATAAAATTATGCTCATTACCTAATTATTTAGCTGAATTTTGATTTGCTGAGATTTTGATAGAATTGAAATAACTGATAGAGGGTATATTTTGACTGTAAATAGTGGGGAATTTTAAAAAATAATTAATGATGATTACTCTATGCCAAGTTCTCTTTTAAATCTCTAAAATGTATTTATTCACTCAATCATCCCAGCTTCCTTATTATGCTATGACTTTTGTCCTCATTTTGGTGATGAGGAAACTGAAGCCCAGAGAGATTAAGTAATTTCCCCAAGGACACACAGCTAGTAAGGAGTGGGGCCAGCACTGAATCCTGAGGTCTGACTCCACACCTGGTGTTCCTCTGTTCCATTGCCTCCCATTTCCATGTTGAAAGTATATTTATCACCTATGACACCAAATAAATAGTAACTAACCTCATTGGTTCTATCAGTTCTCCAGAGGATTCTGGGATTTTGTGGGGCTCCAATATTCAAGGAACAGATTAAGTTCTTAAAAAATCTTGAGAAAATGTATTAGACCATGATATTTTTGAACATAGCATGCGCATGTGTGTGTGCATGCTCATTAATTACTTAGCCAGGAATAAAGAAGGCTGAAAATGTACCAGTCCCCACTATCACAAGCAACTGAAAGGCAAAGGAAAACAGAAAGAATCACGTATCTGTGAAGTCACAAGCACAGCTCACAGAAAGGGGCCATGGAATTGGCTTCCTGAGAGTCCTGGGATACAAATATTTTATCCAAAAAGATGTAGTGTGTCAGAAGTCCTTAAGGTATCCATTGAGAATAAATTACTTCCTCCACATCAAGAGTCTTCATCATCTTTTATAATCAGCTTAGTCAATTCAGAGCGGAGACAATAGTTTCTAATTTACTAACAGTGATGCAAGCAACATCCACCATGTTTTATACATCATGGCAGTGGCGATCGGATGAGAACGTAGGTTAGACTGCCGTATGGACCTAACATTTCCCAAGCTGGAGGCCCTGGCATCTATAGATAACGATGGGCATCAGTGATCCGTTTGTTAACATGAGTCAGGCTCTGGACAGAGACCTGATGCCCCAGAAGGCAGGTGCCAGGTCCTCTGACCTCTGAGTGACCTCCCAGCCTGCTCTAACCATCCTACTTCCAGCTGGTTTTGAGATAGTTTTTATCTAGAGAACAATATGCTTGGGTGTCTTGGCCTATCTCAACAAAAAGACAAATGACATGTCAAAGTCTAACCTTTTTGACCTAGAAGGTATAGTTTCAACCAATATGTTATATTTATTAGTCTCTTGGGGAGAAACCAGATTTATAGCATTCCATTTTGTTTTACTCTCCACAAACAAGTGAACATGAACCATTTTATCAGTCTTTTCTCAGAGGCATGGCCTATGCACTGACTCAGTGAGACTGTTGTTTATCAGTGAGAGAAATAACAAGAGAATATCTGGCCTTCCACTTAGTGGAAGACCAGAACTTTTTTGGATGGGATTTTACTCCAATCTGAAGTCACGTCATCTAGAAGAAATAAAGATTTACATAAATTGCTCTGAGAGGGGGGCTAAATCTGTCTTTTGGCTATCTTAATCTCATCACGTTGATCACTGTATCTGTGATCTTTGTCATGAAGAGCAACTGCCGTTAACAAAACACGTTCCTCTTGGAAAACTATGAATTCAGTGAATTAAAGTTACGGAGCACATGAAATAAATCGTATTCTGCAAATAATACCACTTGGTAATTCACACACTTAGGGGAAATATTGAAAGAAATTTTCTACATTCAATTATGTCACATTCCTATTACAGTCAGCATAAATTCAATTCTTAATTTTTTTGCCCCTAAAGAGTGTGTTTTTCAGGATGTTTATAGAACATTTTTTTAGAAAGAAAAACAAAAATTTTTGTTTTCTTCAATGATAAAATCTATGAAGGAGAAATGAAAACCTTGTGTATATTTTTTGAGCACAGTGATATTTTAAAACAGATCAATGATAATTAAGCCCAATTTTGCATCTATATTTCATATATGTATATAATAGCATAGTGTCAAGCCTATTTAAAACAGCCACAAAAACTAGTTAGGTGTCTTCCATGGTCTAGGAAGGTTGAATGTTAAAATTATTTTTAACAGAGGGCTGTCAGAAATGCATGTGTAGACAGTACCCTTATAATTTTTTATTAATATGCATGGTATTATATTTATTACTATTACTTCCAAAGTAAGAATTTTTAGAAGTATATAAAAGTCATCTATGAATATTTGCAATATTAATGATCATTGTAGAGTAGTAAGCTTCATGATGCTCCTCAGTCAATGTAGACCATGGTGTTGAGCCTAATCAAATTTAGTATACTACACTCTTTCCCAAAATGCTGGGTGGTTTTCAGTAAGAGAAGCTTTTGATGTTTATCTTCAAGAGTTCCAGTGCGGCTCCCCATCATGGAAGCAGGTAGTTATTTTCAGCTCCTGTCACTATGATCCGCTAACAGGACACCTGGCCTCAGCTGCTTATACAACAGTTCTAGCAGCTATCATGTGTGCCAGCTGATTGTCATGGCTTTCATTTGAGGTTTCAGTTTGTTTCTTTGTAGATAAAATGTATCACCCTATAATACAGTGATCCAAGTAACAACTGACAACTCTTAGGGGATCATATAATTATTTCTATGGAAATACATAAAATAGATTATAAATATCTTCAATATATTTTATTTTGTTTGCTTTATCATGAATATTCCATGCTTTTTTATTGTTCCCTTTCTGATTATACTCTGGTTGGATTGTATTCTGTTTAAGTGAAACTATTGAGTTTGCTCACATCTTTGATTTTCTTATTAAAGGACATCCATACTTTACCTATATGTATTCCAAATAGCAGATTCTTCTCAATTCATTGTATACTGAAAAAAACGATGGACAATTATTGCATGCAGGAAGAGGTATATCTGATCGTCCCTGTCAGAGAACTAACTCTTTCACCATATGTGAGTTTCTAGAAAATGAATAAAAGCACAGCCAAGGTCTGGTTCCTTCCTCTAACTTTCTTCTCTCTTTTCTCTCCACAGGAACTTTTTACCCCTGAATGCAAGTTTAAAGAATCTGTTTTTGAAAATTATTATGTAATCTACTCATCCATGCTGTACAGACAACAGGAATCTGGAAGAGCCTGGTTTTTGGGATTAAATAAAGAAGGGCAAGCTATGAAAGGCAACAGAGTAAAGAAAACCAAACCAGCAGCTCATTTTCTACCCAAGCCATTGGAAGGTGAATGTTACGTGTGCATTACCCTTATCAGATTTATTACACATTTCATTTTTCAAATCGATACATTACCATAGCTACAAGGAACCCTGATGGAGTGCTACAAGTGTCCTTTATCTTGACCTGGGGGATGGATGCACAAATGTCTACTCAAGCTGTTCATTTAGGATTTGTGCCCTTTATACACTTTGTGTGTGTGTGTGTGTGTGTGTGTGTGTGTGTGTGTGTGTGTACCAGGATAAACTTTTTCTGTTCCCACCTTCCAACATCTCAAATCCTCACTACCTCAACCACTGTAACCCTTAATTTTAATTAATGAAAAAAATTAAAATCTGTAAGGATATTACAAATCTATGATAATAAGTATATTAGGAAAAAATAAGTTTTGAGTATGGAATCAAAATTATTTGCCCATCTTGATGTTACCTAGGTGAAAGTACACACGTATGAATTATTATAATTACATAAAATGAAAAGATAATAACTTGACTCTTAAAGAATTTGTTGACATTACATATCGCCTTCCAAATCACATAGTTCTTCACTGAATACAGTTGTGGCCCTACCTTCTTTTACTAAAATAATTTTTCTCCATTGACATGTAAACAGTGGAGCCTTCAGATTTACTTTGATCAGATTCCCAAGGAGTAGGCTACAAAGTTTGTTAATTAATCAGAAATAACCACACCTTTCTCATTAATGATTCTGCCAGAAGTGTCATTTACTTTTATCTATGTAATATTTGTTTGAGAACTGAAAAAAAAAATGATTTTGAGGCTATTCACATGTGTTTTCTGTACAAATACTTGTTTCCTCTTTTGCAGAAGATCAGATCTATAATAACTGCTAGCTTAGTTCAATTTTTTTTTTGTTTTTTATTCCTACATAAAAGTCTTAGCCATCAAGAGAAAATGCATATTGGCTTCATAACCCATATTCTCTATGTAGAAATAAGATAATTTGAAATTTTTCATTATCTGTGAATGTATAATTAAGTTTCAGTTTGCCCAAATTTGGAAAACGACTCTTGTTGGTTAATACTACTTTTGTATAATAACTTCCGTGATGTTGACTTACTATCACTTTTAATAATATTTGCCTCTAGAACAATTTATTGAACCCCAAACACAGCTGCCGGGACCTACGTAAAAAAGAACAAATTAATGCAGAGTCTGAAATATGAGTGAATTATTCTCATTATATGGTAAATCATAAGGAAAATTAGAATAAAAGACATTAGAGGATATCTCTGTTTTTTGCAGTAACACATCCATGATATGACTTTATAGTTTTAAATGAATTTTGATACTATCGAACTCACCAATATTGAAATTCAAATGAAAAATAAAAAACTAAGTGCATAGCAGCTTTACAGAGACCATGGTTTATTTGCTCCCTTGTTTGTCTATTTGACTAATTTTATGTTTTGAATATAGACAGTTAAAAATTGACCAAATTTCTAAAATCTTACCTTAGCTGCATAAATGTAATGAAAACAAAAAGGGCCTTTATGTTACTTAACTGAGGTAAAATTTGGAAACCACTTATTTTGTATATCCCTTGGGAAATATCTGAGACTCTAATGGTGTGGTATAATGGTACTTGGTCTCTCAATCATGTGTTGAACTTTTGTGTGTATGTGAGTGTGTGTGTATGTGAGAGTGTGTGTGTGTGTATTTATATATGAGGAAAAGAAAAACAGTATTTTCATCATATTTTCAAATAATTAGCAGACAGAAGTACTCCAAAAACAAGGGGGTAGGTACTATAATGATAAAGGTTACCACATTGTTTACTTGATAGAGGAAAATTAATTTGAAACTTTCAAAACTCATACAGGATATAAATTATATCATTGGAAAAGTCAGGACAAATTATACTTGATTTAATTATTGATACTCTAGGGCATTCATATCTCTTCAATATGTAGATAATCAAGATTGATGCTTTGATCCTATTATCTCCTAATTTAAATATTGGAAGGAGTGAGAGTTTGGAATCTGCTTCAAGAGTATGGATCTGTTCCTTTTCCTACCTTGAGAAGTCTTACTATAGGCCTGATACACAGCTGTGCTTCCAAGAATGTGTACTTTATATGATGCATTTATGTAAAAGTACTATTCTACCACCTTGAACACAGAAAAGATAAATGATAGTTCATCCTAGGTAAACAAAAGAGCTCTTCATAAAATACCTTAAACTTGCAAAAACTTATAAAGGAGTTTGGGCAGTTCCAATGCACTTGTATTTCTAATGGCAGATGACATCAACTCACTAGTTTCTCCCAAGCATCTGTAACTCTTGCAGGTCCTTTCCCAGCATTTCCAAAAATCATTTTCTAAAGAGTCACATGAACTATTGTGATTATATCACCAGATACTATGCAGAAAAGTCCTCAGAGTTTACTCAGGCATCAGTCTCAGTTGCTGTCCTGTCATTCTGTGCTTCTGCTGCATATGACATCAATTATTATATTTTTAATAATATATCAGAAAACGAGGCACAAAAAATATAAAATACCACACAGTTGCCTTCAGTTGTTTAAGGGTCTCTTTCCATGATTGCAGGAGAGAAAATCGAAACAATGATAAGAAAATCGAAACAATGATAAGAAAATCGAAACAATGATCTCCAGAAGGCCCTGGCTTAAAGGAAGCGAGTTCTTTGTTATTGTTTGTGTGAATCTGAAAACCTGAGTTTTCCTTTCTATACAAATAGGATTAGGTTAAATGCTTGCCATTTTCCTATAGTTCTTGTATGTGCACATGTGTGTGTGAGACATCGTAGGTCCACAAAGAGGCCATAGCTCCCATAGACACTTCCTTTCCTAGACAAAATTCCATGTGCACCCATGTACATATTTTAGGTATGTAAACCAGAGAATGTGGAGGACGTAATATCCTCTGTCTGTGGGCTGGAAATTACTGCTTTAAAGCAGGAATCCCCTCTCAATGGCATTGTTTTACTTCAGGGAAAACAGAAATGGGCCAACTGCTGAGGTCTGTGCACATATGGATGGGCTATTCCTGCACCTAACCAGGCAATGTTTCCTTTCCTTCCTTTCTTCCCATCCCTAGTTGCCATGTACCGAGAACCATCCTTGCATGATGTTGGCGAAACAGTCCCGAAGGCTGGAGTGACGCCAAGTAAAAGCACAAGCGCGTCTGCTATCATGAATGGAGGCAAACCAGTCAACAAGAGTAAGACGACATAGCCAGATCCTCACAGGTGTTGTGACTTATTCGTCCTGAGCACAGTTGAGTGATTTATCCCTACCAGACACTCCTGCTCCCGTGGCTGAAGAGCAGCTGGCAGCAAGCTAAGGCTTGCTCTCTGCTGTCTCCGAACTTCTTTGTTCCAAGTGGATAAATCTCAATCTGTTGCACCCCCCACAACAAGAAGACACCTGGATAACCAGCTAAACTCAGACCATGGAATGCCCTACCAGATATGGAATGCCTTTTTAATATCTTTTCTGTGACTGTGACACTTCATGTGAATGACATACTTCACAAGTACACTCGATACCTTGCCTGCTGACAGCTACCCATAATCCTTTTTGAGTCCCGTTTCAGCAAAATCCATGTGTTTAAGTTCGATTTTGTAGCACACAAATAATATTGAGTAATTTCTAGTTAGACGCTGTAAACCTGTGCTATTATGGATTTCTCTTCTTCCCGTTTTTACAGGGCTGCTTGCTCCACTGTCTGTGACCTTTTGCAGGGATTGTGTTCCTCTAAATCTTCAATGTTGCAGTTGGCTTAGTTGGGAGAGCAATCAGGGAATCAGGAAGCCTTCTATATCTATTATTATAAATCGCATCTATAAAGATTAAGATTGTTGTCTCTGGCTCACACTATCGATTAAACACACATATACGCTCTATCCAGTAGCAGATACTGTGCTCCCGAGGTCGGCATTGCCTGGGTGGGAAAAGGGTCAAACACAATCCATGGGAAGCTCTCTATGATACGTGTTTGACATCCCCCTATAGTTTCTTTGTGTGTGTGTGTTTTATACATATCACAAGCTTACTGGTAATGGTAACATTTGCCTTGCCCAGCGAGCAAGACCCACTGGTTTTTGAGAAAGTGGGTCCAAAGAATTCTGTAGGCCTTGTAGGCCTGATTAAGGTTCATTTTTCATCTATTAATTCTCATTATTTGGAAAAAAAAAAAGAGAGAGAAACCAATAATTACAACCTACAAGAATTGCGCTACCTAAGTCCATTTCAGATATACTCCCTCCTGTTTTTAATGAACCAAACTCAATGACACCCCCGTTTTGGGCTGCATTCCACTCATACTCAGCAGAGCATGGGCAAGGCGGCTGTTGTGTTCTTTTCTGCAGCAGCAATGCAAACATTAGTTATAAATTAGACTTTAATATTTTTGGTGTTTAATGACAAGTTTTTAAACTGGACATATTAGGAAAAAAATATTTTTTTTAGCTCAGCATGCTGAGTCCGGTACGGTGTATCTCACCAGTACATACCTCTAACTCAGCGTTTTGGGCCCCATGTCGCCCAATGGCTGAGTTAGAGGTGCCTTGCCATGATCTCAGAATACAGTCTGTTGAATTATCCTAGATACAAATAAAGGCAAACTAACACATTCAAACATCAGGATTTTGGTCCATTCAATTCATTAGCTTTTGTTTTCTTCTGCATTTTTCACTTCCTTTCTAATTTAAAACTGCTTAAACTCTGAGCTTAGGGAAAGACAACTACTAAGAAAGGCCATGAACAGTTGATTACATAGTGAAGATTCCATGCAAAATGTTCATTATTGGGTATAAAGAGTTTCAAAATGTTTAATACTAAATTGTTTGGAAATATATTTGGTAACTCTGTGTACACCTAATAAAATTCAATGTTTTCTTCTCAGAAGAGTTATTTGAGACCAAACTGAACCTCATTTACAGAAAACTATATGTGGGATCAATGTACTGGCCTCTTGTTATTGTTTCTATGTGGAAGGATGACCCAGTCGCCATTTTTCCCCATCTGCACTGTATTTATTGGGAAATCATTTTGTTACTGCTTTCATAAATCTCCATGACAGCCCTTGCCCAGCATTAAAAAATTTTGGCCTGCTTAGCTGATTAAAAGTCTAGTATAAATTTACCTGTTTATGCTTATTTCATTTTCACATTGGATTCCACTTGAATAAATAAAAAGTTAGCATAACGTTTGAGTAGATTTATTGTGAATGATGCTAAATTATAAATACAACAAAATGATTCCTTTGACCATTCTCGATTTGGTGTTATGCCATTTTAAAGCCTATTGCTTTTAACAAGATAAGTTAAAATATATGAATTCCGTTAACCAATTGTTTAGGGAAGACATATATCCCATAATATGTGGCAAACTATTAATATGAATAATTTACTTGTAAAACCAATTAAATGGGCTTCTAGACACCGCTTACGCCAATACACACACACACACACACACACACACACACACACACACACACACACTCACCCTTACCAACAACCCACTCCTATTTGTATCCGATAATCAGCTCTACTTGCTGGTTTCTTTTCCCCCCTGCAAGCGTGTTTATTGGTTTAAATTAAAACGAGATTTATTTTTGTAAATGACAGACTTATGTAAATGTGCACCTCTGTTTTGTTTTTTATATGGGTTGTCTATAAGGGCATTTATCCCTATGTATGGATGTCAAAATACTCTCTTCTGATATATGTTTAGATACATTGCAGAGGGGTCCTTGTTATTTGTAATTTAGTTAGGTCATTTATTTTGTGTCTGGTCTCACCTGTTGCATGGGAAGAGGACAGCACTGATGAACTGCATGTAGTAGGACCTGTATATCAAGAACTGTTGGTATGTATTACTCAATTTGCATACAAAGAGTTTGTCTGCATTGTACAGTTTCTGTGTTTAATATCATTTGTTGTATTTATAAATACAACATATTGAATAAAATATTTATATGAAGGCATATTAAAAATCATCAACAAACTTTATGTAACAAAATGGCATTGCATCACCCACAAATATAGAAAGATGTCATGTAAATAAGTTGGTAAACTCAATTTCCCCCTTTACCATGCCAAAGAAAATTTTAGCTCTTTGATGATACCTCTCTTGCTATTCTTCCAGGATAAGACTTCACCATTATTTTTTCCCTCAGAAATTAAGTTTGCTGTTATTAAGTAAGTGCAATCTGTCACTATTGATGTTCTGTATAGTAAATCTGATGGAATTCATTTGTATTTATAGACCGTGTGTTTTGTACCTCTATGTGCACATGTCCATTGTATCGAGTCTCTATAAGATCCCATTCCTTCTGCATGCATATCTGGTATGGGAGGGTTATTTCTACTGATGTGTTATGGTAGCCGATTGTTTGGCCAATCCTTCAACAATGCTCAGAAATGTTAATTGTTTTGCTATTTCAAGTAACGCCCTTTTTGTTTTCTAATAAGTTTACATTCTAAAACATTTTGCTACCACTTTACTTGGAAAAATTATAGAAGACATGCAAATTGTCCTCCCTATGTAAAGAGCAAAATGGAACTGAACATTATTTCATTATGAATCCTGGAGACTCCTCCTGTTCCAATCTTTCTAATTGTTTGCCTCTTGGAGAGTAAACAGAGTTTCTTTATCATATCTGGCCACTTGTTTAATTAATACTGAAGGTACTAAAATAGTCGTTTTTTAAGGATGGCCAATATCAGAATTGGTTCTCTTTAAAAAACAAACAACAACAACAAAAAAGAACAAAAACTTCTTGTTTCTTAAGTTACACATGGATCACTTCATTTATAATTTTATCCCTAATATTACAGGGATAGTTAATATTTGATACTTCCCCAATAAGAATCCAGATTGGCTAAGATCCAGTTTAGAAGAAGATGAAAAGAATTGAAAATTATTTTCAATTTTATTTCATGACAAGGCTATGAAAGGGAAAAGGATTGAGCTAAATGCTTAATTACTTTTCAAAATGTGGGCATATCGAAATCCAGAATGTAAATTGTGTTGCTTTGAGGTAACATACATTTCACAGCTGAGGTTTCTTAGCTTACAAGGTGATACATAGGGCCTGTTGGCATTCTTGAATACCAAGGGTTTCAAAGTTTTGACAGTTGACTCTGCAAACTAAGGCTGAGTTTATATATATATATATATATATATATATTATATATATATATATATATACACACACACACACACACATATATTTTACTTTTTTTCCCTTGGTTTTCACTCAGTCTAATTCTGATATCTGGCACAGATGGTATTTGCATTTGAGATGGTAGAGGCCATTCCTTCCAATGAGCTGCTGGAATCCAGATAAGCTCAAGGAGCCCAGAAAAGCAATGGGTATAGTGATTTTCCTCATATGTCTTAGGGCTTTGGTTGACTTTTTTGGAAAAGTCCTTGTGGAGGAATTCCTCAGTGCTGGGTTGCCAAACAAGCAGGCTTAGTGTTGACACTATGTGCAAACTTGTTGCATCCCTTCCAATTGACATTAATTCCACTGCAAATTCCCAAAACCACGAACAAATCAATGAGATTTGCTAATTTTTTCCCACCCATTACAAGTTCACTTTTGCTCTGCCTGTTATTAAGAGAGAGTTTGTATCTTAGAGTCTAAGTTTGAAGTACAAAATCACATTTAAGAAGGTTAGAATTTATGTCTTTACATGTAACTGTTAGTTTTATTTTTTCCAATCTAAAAAGTATAAATTCAATCGCATCTTAATAAATATATTTATCTCTGTATCACTACAGTCAAAACCACACACACACACAAACACACACACAATTATAGCAGATGGAAAGAAGTAAAAGTAAACTATTTCTGTTTTCAAAGAAAAAGCACTTCTTAGAGTTTAGGTACTATGTGACTTATGCTATAAGTCAGTTTTGGTTCTATAATTTGTCACGAAATGAATCCCAGAACATAACTGACTAACATATTTTCATCTTTGTCCAAAAATTTAGACAAATCACATTTTGAACTTGATGGTGTAATAGTTTCTCCAATATCTAAACTTTTTTTCCTAGAAAACTTGAATGCCAAGGACATTTTTGACACTTCTGTGACAATATAAAAAAGAGCAGCATGTTGGTTGTAGTTGTTAACGAAAAGAGGTAATGACATATAGAGACTTTAAAGCAAAATAAGACACATCTGAGGTCGTGTGATGAGCTCCAGGGAATTCAGGGCAGCTCCTGGGGAGCAGAAGGCGGCAAACTGCTGCTCAGCCACAAGCCAACCCAACCCCCAATCTGGTTTGGTATGGTCTGGGAGCTCAAAATGAATTTTTATTTTTTTCACAGTTGTAAAGTATTAAACACAAACAAAGAAGAATGTAAGACAGAGACGTATGTGGCTCACAAAGTCTAAAATATTTACTATCTGATCCTTTATAGAAAGCCAAGCACTGTGATACAGGAATCTGAAGGTCACTTGTATTACGATGGCTAGATACTGTAATGAATTCCAATGCCTGTACATCATCCAATAAGTCATCAAAATTGCTACTGAACAATTATAACAGGTTTTTCTGAGGCTTCAAATGTTTAGATACAGAAGAAAAAAGAATATAATCTATGTTATTTCTTGGCTACTTATATTTCCCTCATTTTACAAAACTGATAGATCCATTTACATACTCAACAATAGAGATACAACTAATACGGTTGCACTCCTTAATCTCAGGATAGAGATAACAATTTTGTAAATCTATTAAATTATGAGAACATTATTAGTACTATAAAAATCAGCACCAGTTAAATTTTCTCTTAAAATAATTTTCAATATTATATTTTTAAGTAACTCAGCAGATGCATATTTATTTTTGGTGATTTGACTTAAAAAGTCCAAGCCATGACTCTAGAATATTTACATCATTAAAATAAAATTTCCAAGTAAAAATTTTCATCTTAAAATAATATGAAAATGATTTTGCTACATTATTCTAGGATTTTACAAAATAATTCACATTTAGGAAAAAAGTGGGTTTTTTAAAGCTCTAAATAATTAAAGGTTGTCTAAAATAATGTGTTTAAGTAGATTTACCTGTAAATATGTAAGGGAAGTCCCAATTATTGTACATTTTCATAATCCAATGTGAATTTCATACAGAGCAAAGTTTCACCATTAAAAAAATAAACATTTTGTTCCTAACACTGAGTGAATATTTGAAATTTATATTTAAGCCATTTCTAGATTTTTTTTGGTCCTTTTCTGAGCTTTTGAGATTAGTGCCGTTTTATCCCAGTATCTCTTCTTGACTTCTTTCATGACCCCACTTTTCCAGTTAGGCATCCTCAGAAGATAGCAAGTCTTTTAAGGGAAATGAATGCATATTTCAGGCCCATCAGATACCTAACTAGATTTTTGTCTTTTTAAAAGGCCATGAAATAAATTAATTAATCAAAAATCAGATTTCTTGTGCATGTTACCCCTGCCTAGTCTTAAAAATGTGATCCCTCAGTTCTAGGAACCTAAAATGCATATCCCTGAATAGCAATTTATTTTTTTTTGTTAATTATCAGTAGGTAAATATATATTGACAAAAACTGTAAACAACTTCTGTCGCTATTTATTAAAAATGTTAAATTGTACATTTTTCATAATTTCTTCCTTTATCTTAAGATAATCTTTTGCAAGTTTAAAGTGAGATTAGACAAATGACTTTATGGCTAAAAATGACCAGACTCTTCCCTTGATCCACCCCCAAGCTGACATTATACCTCATGTGTGTTATCTTTACTATTCCCATATGGAGATGCTGAGTGATAGAGAATTCGGGAAAAATCTCATCAATTGATTTACGTGAAGATGTATCTTTTCCTTAGATTCTAATATAGTCTTTCTTGTGCAGGAATGTGGATTTCTAACAACTTTGTAATTCAGTGTTTTTCAACTCCAGCACTACTGACATTTGGAGTCACACAGTCCTTTGTCACAGGGGCGTCCTGTGCACAGTGGGATGTTCAGAGTATCCCTGGCCTCTACCGGTTAGAGGCCTGTACCGCACCCTTCCACCCCATCCAGTGTGACCATCAAAATCATCTGTAGACGTTGCCAAATGTCTTTTGGATGGCAAAATTGCCCTCGTTGAGAACCACTCATGTTTATTATAGAAGAAAAAGTCTTTTAGTGTTATTTATAACAGAGTTTGGTTAACTCATTTGTAATGAGTATCCAGATTCCATTCAGGCATTCAGAAATAGAAAAACATACAACGGTCTGTTGAACCTGTCCTAGTGGTGATTATACATGGTTTCCTTGCATTTATATGTTCTAATGGCCTAGAAAGTAAGACTCCAGTCCTCTCCCATGTGATTGTTAAGGATATTCTGTGCCAAGCCAGATTTCACATGCATTTCCATTCCATCCATCCCAGCATTCACAGTTTCCACAGCTACATATTCCATTCCCTGCAATAAAATACACATGAGAATCATTATCATGATTGAAATGCACCAAGTTTAAATATGCTGTTATAAACTCTAAGTGTCCATAATAAAACCATTTCATTCATCCTTGGTAGATTTTCTTATTGTGCAGTGATCTTATTGTTACATCTTATTAATGAGCTGTGAGAAATCTAATCTTTCCAACAATTAATGGTATTTATTTGGTGCCACCATCTACAGATCATATAGTAACCATCCTGTATCACTCCGGCAGGGCTTCCCTGTCATGACTTTGTTTTTCCTTAGAGAGCAAGTTATTTCTGACTTATGAATAAATACTGAAAAACATAAAGCTCCTTGACATAATCTGAGACAGCCCAAATAATTAGCTGGAAAAGTAGTCTTGTATAGTAGGGATGGACAGAAAGCAACTGTCTGACTTAATGACACACACAAATATTTATCTTTTACCTTCAAGTGGCATGAGGAGAGAAAATATACATGCCTCCATTTCCCCTGTAACTTGGTCAAGCAAATGTATTTTACAACCAATTATTAAGACTCAATAAATAAGGATGGCAGTGGCTATTGCACTGCTGAGCCTCTTTTACACCTTGCCCCCACTTCTCCCTTGCCTGTATACACACATCCATTTCCCTGAAAACAGCCAACACATCAACTAGTAGTACCTGGATGGTGTTTAAAAACATTCTACTCTCTACACCATGTTCAAACTAAAATGGTTGCCAAGAGAATTCTTTGCTCTTTTCAATATGTAACTGCATATGCGTGAGTCTGAGGGGCAATTACTTTGGGGAAGTTTCCCAATAATTGTATAATTTAGCTTCATTCTTTTGTATTCTTATATGCCTGGAAACTATGCTAGTGCTTACTCCCAAATGCCCACTTCCCTTTTCATAGTTACTTCATATTATCAGCTGACCCATGATCATATGAAAGCCACCATGTCCAGCCACTTGAAGCATCGTGTGATGGATGTCATTTGGTCCTATTGTAAACTGTGGCATAGAACAATTAGAGTAGGTCGATACTGCACCTGTACAAATGAGGCCATCATGTTTGTCGCAGTCTCTGTCATCACAGTCGCAGAATTCCCCCGAAATATACCATTCTTCGGCAGAACAAATGCACTTTCCACAATGACAAGAACCTGAAATTACAAAGGGTATGACTGGCCATCACGGTATAACTAAAGGTTTCCATATAGATTAGAATATCGTTGACACGCTGACAATAGGCTTCTAATAACCTATCTTCCGAAGGTAAAAGTTTATTGAATGGCCAGTTTCTCAGAGGGGAGCTTTACTTGCTGTAATTCGTAAAGGTCATCCAGGAAAGCCTTCATTATGGATCCAGACAGTTGCAATTAGCCTTGAGCAAATGTCCCACGGCCCAGTCTGGTTGAAATGTCAATGAGAGCAGAATGTAGCTGATCCTTCCAAGGACCTTCCAAAAAGATATTCAAAAATAGGTATTGTTTTCTGAATGGAGTCATGTTTTTAAAGTGCCTGTTCTTTAAAGGAATTGAAAAGTAAATTCTGTTAGGTGAGGATGCATTCATAATTAAAATAACAACTAAATTATTGGGCTCAGAATTTTGGATTTTCGTTTACATGATTTTCTCAAGGTAGGAACGTACCTGCATATTGGGTGGCTAAAGTGCTAAGGATGCTAAGGATGCACAGAGGACCATTCATGTCTGTTGACTTATCAGACCTCATCCTCAGGATTGTCCACATAATCAAGCATAATGCTAATTGCCCTTCATCCTTTTCCCTGGGTTCAACCACCTTCCCTTCTACTTTGCCCATTTCCCCTCTTTTATCCTCTTACCTAATTAAATAAAACTTCCCCTTTGGTTATTAAAACGATTTTGGGTTATTGAGCAAGAATTTTATTAATGGTATATGTAAAATCAAAGAAAATAAATGAGGTAAATGGTGTCCCAAAGAGAAGAAACTTCTCTCAGTCTAAACATCTTTACATGACAGGCTAAAAGGCCCTCACAGGGCAAAACTGTTTCCACTACAGCAGGAAAGCCAACTTTAAAATGAAAAAGAAACAAATAAAAAGGACTTCCCTTTTCATCCATTTCCTTGGCCTGGCCATTCTTTCCAAATGCGATTTCCTTTTACTAAAAGACGGTTGTCACTAAACTTTTCAGGTCAAAAATCACCTTAAGAGAATGTGACGTAGAAAAAGTATTTTGACATATTTAACAAAATTTCCAGACTTGGTTAATTCAAAATATATGTGGGTAGGTGTGTGTGTGTGTGGGGGGGGTGGTCAGGAATTAATCATTAGCATCTTTTTGAAACACAGTGATTAAAAATTGAGTTAACAACTTGGGTGATTAAAATAATTAGGAAAATGAGGTTATACTTATCACAGATACCAAGAAGGGGTCTGTGTTGATGTGTCCTAAGCATTAAGCACTATGTGATATTTCATATCATGGAAACTAGTGTATGCAGTTTAGTTGCAAGAATCCCTAATAGCCAAATTAAACTTTTTCCATTCCTTGTCATACTTCTCAAGGTAAGAGAGTAGTCAAAATTAGTTATAGCATGAGAATTGTGTTTACATTTATTTTTAACTTCTTGCTTAGTGACAGCATAATTTCATTTAGTCTTGACTTGTTTTCCTGAGGGTCTTGGTTGATTTGCATGTTCCTGAGCAAAATATAGCCATTGTTCAGTCCTGATGAGTGACTGACAGGCTGGTGGTTTCTCTGGACCCAGGAATTGGTCCTCCCAGGTCACTCTGCGATGGATAGTGGTCCCCTCTTGATCTCCTCAGGTACACAGTTTCTCTGTTTTAGAAATTTATTTATCCTAATTTTAAACACTTTCTTTCAAATTTAGAACATGAAAATGTTCAACACTCAACTGTTTTTTAAAATAAAGTAGGTTAGTGATATATGTGCCAACAAAGAAAACAGGGAGTATTTCACTGACTATCAGGGAAATTTTCTCAGAAGGAACCATATTTAGAGTTATATTTCCATGAGTGGAGGAAGATTATTTGAAGACTGTTTTAATCGTTCCTAAGTAGTATCTCCTTACACTGCAAAATTATTTCTACAACAAATGTAAATTATTTTATATGTCCACAATATTCATATGTTACACCTAGGATATATTTTTGTGTGTGTCACAATTCATAGAAAGATCTCACATTTCATCTTTGACTTTATCCTCTGGCCCTGGAACTATTCTAATCACTGCTCTGGCTTCTGGAATGCTTAGCTTCAGGCTGCAATAAAGTATTTTCCTAAAACTCATAAGCTCAGCCAAAGTTAATATGGTATATATGGATAGAAAATTTGACGAGTAAGTTCCAGTTCCAAAAGTCTACTAGTCAAATGAAACGGTTAGAATGAAAAATGAGGATTGATTTTGTACGTGCCATGAAACGGTAGCTTTTCTAGGTCAGCATTTTCCCAGCTGTGTTATTCTTTTCTGTTTGTCAAAGTTCAGTGCATCTTAGAGGTAGGAAATTCTTCTACTGCTTGTGAAACTAGGAATGGATAACATTTACTCATAACGCAGTGTGAATAATTATTAGGACCTATTACAGCACTTTTCGTGTAGAGTGCTCTGGCTGTTTTCAACAGTAACGAAGGTCAAACTGTCCCTCTCTGGGACAACTTAGGGAGAAGTTCTATGAGACAGATATGGGCTTCATGACTACCAAGAGGTGAGCAATTGTTCAACCCAGCTGGCCAGGACCCACTCACACCCCTGAGACCCAGCCCATCCAGACAGCAGCCGGCCAATCTTGGCAGGAGCTCTGCGGTGGTAAGTTCATAACCACAACACCACTGATCCATTCAGTTTCTTTCCCAATAGAAGAACCTTTAAGAATGTTCCCATCTCCCTTCTTGCTATTTGCTGGCTTCTATACCTGGGGAGTCAGCCACATTTTCTCATGTGTCTTCAGAGCATTCTTAGGACTTAAGAAGGGGAAAGAAATGAAATTTTGCCTTCAAAGATGAGAATGGAAGTACAGTAAGGATAAGTAAATTGCCCCTAGACCACATAGGCAGTAAATAACAGTTAAGACTTCAATCTAATTAAATCTACCTTCTATCTAGCTATCTACCTAACTATGATGTCTCTCACCACAAAAACTTTCCTGTGCAGTAGCTTCAGACGTGAGCTGCTTGTTCCTGCAGGTCTGCCTGGACAGTCCTATTGGCAATGACGCCAGGCTGAGATTGGTTTTGTGAAGCATAACTTTGACCGTTTTTCTTTTCTGGGGACATGGAATGGGGGTGCTGGGGGGGTGGGTGATGGGTGGGTGAGTGGGTGTACTCTGGACTTATTTGGATGAAGTGGGGCCTGACAAGAATCACCATGAGGGTTCAAGGAGATATTTAATGGTGTGTTTCCAGTCATGACCACACAACAGCAATCTATAGGATTATCAGAGGTGATCGCCTGGATCTCGGTTGAAGTAATCAAGGCAAAAATGTTATTGTGTAGTGTTGGATCCAAACAAATAAGTCACCAAACGAACAACAACAACAAACCCAAATGCATTATAGCATGTATTTGTAATGGAAATCTAGCCACTAAGCTCATCTCTCTTGGTTATTCACAAAAACAACTGGAGTCTAAGGGCAAGGCACCTTGTTAGTGGCCCCATTCCATTACCAGCCTTGGACTTTCTTTTCCATTCATCAAGCCTGACAAAATGCTGCAACTTGACATCCCAGCAGGCGGTTTTCACTATTGTACTAACTACTCCATCTGTTATGAAGGTCACTATAATGTATCATGTTTTAAATTTTTCTATGGAGTGATTTATTGTCTTGGCTATAAATTTGTAAAGAAATAAAACGCTATTTCTTCATCGTCTCCTGAGGTGACGGCTTTATTCACAGCTCGTGGGAAGGGCGTGTTTCAGCCTTGTTTTGTCAGGGACAGGCCATTAAGTGGTGTGCTCAGGCCTACTGCTCAGCCCTGGCCCGTAATCAGAGAAGGACTCCAGGTATTTTTTGCAATCATCAGGTTGAAGAGCTTTCCTTGACAAATTTGAGAAAAATGATATGGGATTTGGACAAGCCTATGAGACTCATCAAGAAATACATGGCCCCAGTCAAATTATTTGGAACAGGTTTCTCTTTTCTGCCACCATGTTGACCTCCCTAAGTCTATTTCATGGGTTACTTTTCCTGTGGTTCCAGGGTGGGGGTGACCGGAAATAACTGCTGCATCCCCATTGTCCTCTGTGCCTACGACAGACCACAGTTACATGATCGCGGTTTTGGCCCCTTTCTGCCAGGACTGATGTCTCCAGAACAAGAGGAAAGAAAAGAAAGAGCCCTCAACCAGCTGCTGCCAGCAGTACAAATGCCCAGCCACTAACGTGAACATCCACCCGTGCAGCCTAGGGGCAGCTTTTACATTCCCTTTTGCGTTTAAAGACTCTAAAACTCTCTACCCATTGAAGGATAAACAAATAGTTTAGATAAATATGCTTTCAACCCTTCATTGATCTCTGGATATATTTCTATCACCTGGGGCAAACAATTTGAAAAGGCATTAACTATAGAGATGTTTTTGGTTTTGTTTTGTTGTGAGGAAATGCCTTTGGGCCAATATTTAGTCAACCTATTTTTTTTTTTTTGTATTTTCTACATTTATGATGCTGAAAAATGAGCATCTTTCCTCAGACTGTAAAAATGTGAATAAGAATGTTTATTTCTTGAAATGAAAGAACTCTTTTTGAGTGAAATTCAGTTTAGGAGATGGCAAGCTGCTATTGACTATGCTGTTGTGTACGACTTTGTGTATTTTTCCTGCACTTGCAATTGGACGTGATTTCGGGAAGACCTGCTTATGGGCAGTGTTCATGATTTGATAATGTGCCTAGCAGACACACACACACACACGCGCGCACACACACACACACACACACTGGCTGACTTTTAAAATAAACACAAGCACACTAGTGTTTTAATATGAATGAGTGTCCCCAGTTTGGTAGAGCTTTTGTAAAAAGCTTACATCCTTATTCCAGTGATAATGCGATTTAGGAAAATCAAGTAAAAACGTATCTAAGTTTCAGAGCTCTATGTTAGAAGCTATGCTCAGAAAAAATATCTAATTAAAAAAAATTAATCATTTTCATTATTGTTTATACATAGAACATTCCCCTCTGATCTGATAACAACTCTTTTCTTCTGTCCTACTTCAGTTTAATTGCATCTCTGCCTCCTTTCCTGCTTTTCTTCATTAATCTCTTTCTCCCCAATTCTTTCCCTTGGTCTCTTCCTTTTAACATTTTTTTCTACTTTTTTGGCTCTCCCAACACAGCTTGAACCCAAGGCAAGTGTTTCCAGGAGCTGAGGCCCCCTGAGAACAGAACTGGTGGAAGATTTGTTTAGGGCTTGGAATTAGATTGAATTTGACGGGAGAACAAACAGGAAACAAAGTGATTGCTTTAAACTCATTTAAGTTCCACCTGCCTGCTATAATGGCATTAGGTTGAAGGCATGGCCTCCTTGCCTGAGCACTGTAACCAGAAGTTCTGGAACACAGAATTCCTGGAAACCAAGGACACTGCTATCCATTGAAATGAGCATGTTTGTATTCATTTTCAACTTTCGTCCTGGCACCATAGGTAGTCACAGCATCCATTCTCTTTCATGTCTGAAGTTATGTCAAAAAGTCGCTTTCAACCTGATAGCATCGGCCCTGTGTTATGGGAAAAGCAACAGCTACTATTTAGGGGACATATAACCTTTGGCACATCCCGCTTCAGAGACCTCCATTTACCTGGGAGGTGGTGTCACTGGTAGATTTCTTTGTTAACACTATTCAGTGCCACTGATCTGTCTTCTTCAGAAAGTTATTTATGTGCTCATCCTGACCCAGCAGAAATGTCTGAAGGTAAACGAAGCTTCAGCTAGAGCTGTGCCTTGTCTGAAAAGAGGGGGCTGTCTGTTCTGCACGGAGACTATCGAGCTGAAGAGGAGAGCTGGGAAGCTCTCTAATTCCCGGTACCTTGAGGTTCACCTTCTGGACATGGAGTCAGAACCCCCAGGCCCCCGGTGTCTTCCTAACTAACAAAAGGAAGACAGAAGCCCCCTAGACAGTGCCATATGCACTATGATAGCAGGTTCTAAAGTCCCTTCAAGAATACTGCACATTTACAACCCTGACTCAAGCGCATTACACAAGCGATCCTCGTAACCATAAACATTTGTACCCCTGTAATACTTTGAAATTAAAAAAAAAAGAGGTAGATTTAATTTCGTTCTTTCTTTTTTAACTTTTTCTATACATCTATCAGGTTTTCATTTTTCACCATAATACTTCTCCCTCATTTGTACGTATATTTAAAATAATGCCTAAATGATTTGCGATGTATTTTTAGAGGAAAATTGAAACTAAATACCTTCCAAAAAATAAAAATAAAAAGAATACTATTACAGAAACATCAAAAGCAAGACATTCAAAATTTATTCTATTAGTCTTCTTTACTCTGAAAAAATCTGTTCTAGTTTTTCTTTTTGTGCATGTGTGGAGGAAGGGATAGAGGGAAGGTTTGCTTTTTCCCTGAATCTGCTTCTGTGGCAAAGTTTGATTGGGTTAATGGCTTCTATTCAACCAACTTGGAGGTTGTAACCATTTGGTAAGCTTCTTTTTTTCCTTTGTTTAATTATTATCTATTTTTTTATATCAGGCTACACATGTTGCTTGGAACAGTTGGTAATTTTTAGGTCAAAGAAAATCGCACCAGAATTGTGGGACCCATATACTTTTTCTTTCATTTTTTATGAAACTAAATATTTAGTCTTCTCTTCTATCTTTCTCACACTTCCAACCCTCCCCGTCTCCAGATCCATCTGCATAATTTAGCCCCAAAAGTTCCAAAAGTCAAAAGTTTTGGCATCTCAGATGCATGTGACCACTTTTCTGCAGTTCTGGGCTGTACTATTTCAGAGGTGAGCTCAACAATCACCCTTTTGCCTTTTTTGTATACAGCACCCAGTATATTTTGTCATCCTTATTCTTTATAAAATTATTAATTCCATTTTGTTCAGCAATAACTTTGCACACAAGTGGCTGAAGATCTTTTTGCATGAAACTTCTCTCGTGTATTTCATTTTCTTAGATCTAAAACTTCACATGGCTAACCTTCAGGCTTCAAGTTTGATACAGGCAGAGGGCATAGTGGTTTTCTTCCATGCAAAGTTTGGTCTGGAAAAGATGGTTGCTAGTTGCTATCACACAAACCATGTGTCAGAGCAGGAATCCAGTCCAGGCTCCGGCAGAGATACTCACCCTTCCCCGAGCACAATATGCCATCTGCTGATTCACACAGACTCTTGCTTTGTTCTTCCGTCATGTTACACTTCCGCGGATGCTGGCAGAGCTTTCCAAACCACCCTCTCTCACACACACAGCGGCCACAGGAACATGCGCCATGCCCTGAGAAGCAACCACAGGGCGGGGGAGAGAAGAGAGGATGGGTAAATAACCAGCTGTGGCAGAGTTTTTAAGAAAGAAATGTATAAACCCTAGGATCTCATTTCCTATCAAACACACTTTTCCCTTTATGCATAGTCAATTTGGCATGTAATTGTTTAAAGGAACTTCAAAACAGAGTTCTAGTTTAACATAATAAATTGGAATGCAGAATAGGAAATGGACGTGACAGAAAGAAACCTTGAAATAATTTAAAATGGAATTATAGCATCCTTTCTTGATACAGAGTATTTACTCATTTGCATTTTTATCAGTATGGAGTCTTAGTGCGATTCTTCATTGTGCACAGCACGACATCCCGACCAATTTGCAAGGCTAGTCACGTTACCACCGCTGGCAGCATTTATTGATTGCTTTCCTATTGTTTACTAATAAAAACAAAAGGTTAACCTCCATATGAATGGCATTTGGTATTAAGTTACTTTATCTGTGTACCTCTCTACTTACTAATAAGAATAGATGTAAGTGTAAGTAATGGTGTCTCTCTATTATTGCATAAAAGTTAAAACCATCGGGCTTAGATTCATATTTGGCATTTTTTTTTTTTTTTGGTTCCTGACATTGGCTTCTGGTTTTTGAGGTATTTATCTTCTGATATATATGCAACATTGTATTTGCGACAGTTATACACCAGCATATACACACACTGGTTTAGGTGCTTGCCACCAACACCCCAGTAGATTTCATGAGCTTCCATTTTAATTTCTTGTTTCTACTCAATGCTTTGTTTCTTTTCCTGATGTATGCACTGCCTTACACAGAGTCTCTCTGGATCAGCTATTTGGCAAAGACCTAACTGAGTATCTATTATGAACAGAGCATTTTGCTAAGCACTAGGAGATACAAAATCAAGCACAATGTACACAGTGGTCCCTGGTCTTCTCCTAGGGACATATATCACCATCATTCAGACTGATCAGACTCTCTGAAGCTGTTGACACCATTTTCCCTTGACTATTCACTCTGGCAGGACCTTTAAGAGCAAACCTTGCTCCATTTTTTCCCCTCTAAATTCAGCCCTGCACAGGAAAGACAAGTGGCCAACACTCAATGGTTTGCAATTCATTGTTATGATTAATTTACTGTAACCACCCATGAATCCTGGCGATAGTTTTCCATAACACATGATCATCTGGGAGTTAATGGAAAGCAAATGGGAGGCAAACTCAAAGGAGCTTCATTGACAAATCTATTTCCCACCGTCTCTTCTACCTCATATGGTGATGTATTAAATTTATTCTCACCACAGCCCCTTGAGTCTGGTATTATCCTTGTCTTACTTTCAGGCAACCGAGCCTCAGAAGGACTAAGTAATTTGGCTTCAAATCACATAGTTCAGCTACATAGGACCAGAACTTGATTCTAGTTCCTCTGATTTCAATGCCCACGCTTTTTCCAATGTGCCACACTGCCTCTGTACTTCATTTTAGAAAACAAGACTCTTAGCACACTTTTTTAAATTCCTATCTTTTTCAACTGCTGCATCATTTGAAAGTGTACATTTGACACTCATGGGCACTTTCTCCAGAAAAGTCTCTTCTCTCTTGGTTTTCATGACATGAAACTCTCCTTGCCCCATTCAAAACTCCTCCTTTGTCTCTGTTCATTCTTCTGCCCTTTTTCTGACCTGATAAATACCGGTATGCTCTCATTGACTATGTTTAATCATCTGCTTTTACCTCTCTATAATTTCTCCCTTTAAAAATTCATCAAACCGGGCTGGGCGTGGTGGCTCACGCCTGTAATCCTAGCACTATGGGAGGCTGAGGCGGGCGGATTATTTGAGCTCAGGAGTTCGAAACCAGCCTGAGCAAGAGCGAGACCCCGTCTCTACTAAAAATAGAAAGAAATTAATTGGACAACTAAAAATATATAGAAAAAATTAGCCGGGCATGGTGGCGCATGCTTGTAGTCCCAGCTACTTGGGAGGCTAAGGCAGGAGGATTGCTTGAGCCCAGGAGTTTGAGGTTGCTGTGAGCTAGGATGAGCCACGGCACTCTAGCCCGGGCAACACAGTGAGACTCTGTCTCAAAAAAAAAAAAAAAAAATTTCATCAAACCATAGGATATCAGATAACCACAATGATCACAGGGCTGTATCTCCAGCCCCCAGTTCTCTCCCCAGCTCCACTCTCATGATTCCATACTTCGTGTGCTATTAGCATCCCCAATTAATACTTCCAGACCTAGTTATATAATGTTCTTTCTAAAGGTGCAACTGTCTTTCTTATTTCTTTCAATAGCACAGCTACCCTTTCAGGCAACCAGTTGAAAATGTTTTGAGTCACATTTGAATGTCCCTTACTCCCTTCATCCAAAGTTGTCAAGTCTTGTTAGCGCTACCTCCAACACTTCCATTTATATCACAATCATGAACATAGAGAAACCTGTATATCACATCTCTCTCCAATATTCTTGCTTGAAGATTCCCACAGCACAACTCTCCTCATATAACAGCCTTGATCTCTAGTACTATATGTTTCCCTAATGCTTACGACATAAATTTCACCAACTTTAGCCTTTGTTATGTTCTAGGTTCCTGAAAAACAAGAGTCCCAAGCTTCTTTTCCAATCTTATTCCTTTTCTTTTCGCTTTAACCAAACTGACAGACTCATTGTTCCCTGTACATTTTGCAGCTTTTCTGACCTCATGCCTCTGCAGAGATAGGAATGCCTTTCCCCTATTCTACATATTCGGGTCGTACTTAATTTTCAAAGCTCAGCAAAAGTGACTACAACTTCATGAAGATGGTCCTAATATCCCTAAGTGGAACTCATTGCCTCTCCTCTGAATTTTTTATGAATTTATTTTCCACCTTCTGTGGAACGTCTGTGGTCTTCCACAGTACTTATTTGTCAAATGGATCCGTCACTTGACTGTGAATTCCTTGACAGTGGGAATTACTTCTGATTCAGCACCACAGTCTGTAGAGTGCCCCCCATACACTGCCTTAGACATAGTGGATCCACAAAAACTCTCGCAGTAGATTGAGGTTGACTTAATCAAAATATGCTTCTCATTTTTCCCCACAAATCCAAATCGAGGTCCCCAAACTGATTCTAGGACATGTTTACAGGTTATTTGGTTAATGGACTTTCATTTAAAGGCAACGAGCAGTCCTTGAATTGCTGTTTTATTTCTATTTTCTGTAAAGTAGAGCCAAGCTGGAGAATTGGTGTTCCCTAAGAGCTATCTACTCAATAAATAGTTATTAAATTGATTCGATCTTGACTTCTCCACTAGAATCGAAGTCCACTTAAAGTACAGGTCTCCTTAATAAGTTAAGTGCAATGTTGTCCATCTTTGAAGGCAAAGATTCCAGAGTACAAAAAAAAAAAAAACAAAAACAAAAACATAAAGAGAGAGAGAACTTCTAGTAACAGGCCCATTGAGCTGTGGACTTTTCAACTGCTCGTGTTTCTTACTGACTCTAGGTTGGTAAGAACTGTCATCAGTTTGACATAATTAGAATCATTTGATCTCTACTGCAGAGGAAGATACTCTGCCTTTGATTCAGGATATCATTAAGAATAACTCAATGGCTCCTCACAGCAATTAATTGAATATAAAATTATATGCACAAAAATGGGAGATTGATTTTCATGTATTAGCTCATTTGTCACATCCTTCAAGAAAATTAAGTTAGCATCTAGCCCATACGATCACCAAAATGCACTGGTATTTCAGTGCTTTGATTAGCAATTTGTATGACCTCGTTTTACTTAAAATTAATAAAAAAAAACTTCTTTATAACTCTTATAATTTAGTCATCCATTCAAGATGTGCCCTTGTATTTGTTGTGACCAGGCATTATATTAGTAGTTTAGAATGTAACAGTGAATAAAATAGGCATCGTCCTTGTCTTCATGGTACTTGCAGTCTATTAGGGAAGAAAACAAGTCACAAGAAACAAACAAATACACTTGGTTTATAGAAGACTGAAAGAGTGTGCTAGCATATTCAACAGTGAGAACACTGAAAACTGGTGTAGTCAAGGGATGACACTCAAGGGATGAGAAGGAGCCAGACAGCCAATGTTCTAGGAACAGAGCCTAGAAAAGCTAATGAAAAGTCCTTGAGACAAGAAAGAACTTGGCACGTTATAGGCAGTGAAAGAAAGCCAATGTGTTTGAAAAACAATAAGTGAAAAAAATGGAATAATAAAGTTGGAGAGATATTCAGAAATGAGAACATAGTAAACGATTTATTCTTAGGAAGGAAGTTAAATCTATTCAAAGAGGAATGAGAAATAACAAAGAGTAGCAAGAGTGATGTGATATAATTACACTTAGCAAATTCATTTTGGCAACTTGGTAGAATAGATTAAGGTGTATTGGGAGGAAATGAGTACAGAGAAAGTGAGAGGGCTACTGGAAGGCTACTCCAAATGACAGGTGGTAGAGGCTTTAAAGTAGGGATGTGGCAGTGGAAATGCAGAGAAGTAGATGGAGATGTGTTTTGGTGGTGAAAACTGTACCTATGGGCCACGATGCTGGATTTGATGTGGCAGGTGAGGGAAAGAGAAGACTAGTTTTCCAGCTGGAATAATAGTGTGAATAATGATGCTATATTTATCAGATGTAGCGGCTTCAAAAGGGAGAAGTTGAAGGCAGAAAATCAGCTCTGTTTTAAACACTCCTGTGTTTGAGACACTGTTACGATAACCAAATAGCAAGGTCAAGTAGCAGTTGGACATGAGCTGGTACTCCCGACAGGTTAGGCAAGGCTCTAGGCACACACACATTGGGATTTACAAACGTAGAAGGTACTCAGTGCTTTAGAAGTGAATGAGTCCACCCAGAGAGATAAAGTCTTGGGAAACTCCAATATTTAGGGCTAGGTTAGAGGAAGGGAAGCTAGACAAGTAGGAACATTCAGTAAGGAAGTAAGGAAAGAAGAGTGTATTGTCTCATAAGATGACAAAGGAGAGGACCCCCATGAAGGAGGCCTATTGAGTGAAATGTTCCTGAAAATTTGAGTTAAAAAATTAGACCATAGAAGTAGTTTCAGTCAGCTTTTTTTCAGACCGATACCACTGTGTTGCCACTTAGGCCTATGAGTGGAAGACCCAGAGATGGCAGAGCTGTTGGAGAATCGTCTATATATATATCATTAACAGAGAACAACATCTCTGCTTAGTGGTAGAATTGGCAGTGATTAACTTATATAGTAAGTCTACAACATATCATTATAGAATGAAACTGTAAAGAGAACAAGCCTAATGGACCACTGGAGGTACTCGATCTGCGTGCACCTGACTTCCCATGTCTTCATAAGGTGAATGATTTTCCAGACGTAGAATGCCATCTGTCCTCTCCCAGACACTTCCCTCTTTGCATCTGGTACTGTCACCCAGGATTTTTCTTCTCATTCTCTTCCCTTTCCCCACACAAAGATATTCACTAAGAATGCTCTGGACCTGCGTTGTCCAGTATAACATAGTAATCACTAGCCACATGGGACTATTTAAATTTATTAAAGTTAAATAAAATTTAAAAATCAGTTTAACAGCCTCACTAGTCTCTTTTCAAGTGCTTAATAGCCACATGTGGCCAGTGGCTATTGTGTTGAAAAATGCAGATATAGAGCATTCTCATCATCTTTGAAAGTTCTATTTAGACAGTGCTGTTCTAGAAAATGACGTTTTCCAATGAAGTTTATTGGCTCTTATGCACATTTCTTTAAAACACTCTGATGATGGTTCTCAGTTAGGAAACTGATCTATGAAGGGATACTGTTCAACCAGATACCATACCTTGACTACTCGATATCCTCACTCCTTCTTAATATTAAGAAAACCATCATTTCTTTGTTCAGGGAGGTGATAATTTACCATCTGGAAGGTGTTTGTTTATCCATGCTCCTTTTGACCTAGAGGCACCCATACAGCATAGCTCTAATAAATGAGAAATAAGAGAAAATCTCCTGGGTGAGATTTCCAGGAAGCTATTGTTTTCCAAAGGAAACGGGACGAACTTAGCCAGCATGTATCATTTTCCCTTTGTCCTTTTCTTTCCCATTTCTTTCTTCCTGGAAGAAAGATACAACTGGAAATTGTTTATGAGCATGATGATAAAAGTCACACTGGGAGGGCAGAGTAAAAGGGAAGATAGACGGGGTTTGGGGACACTGATGGTGCTCAGGCATCCCTGGAGTGACAACCTGCAGACTTATCTGTGTTCTTCGTCTTCATCCCAACACAGTGCTAATTGATACAGTTACAAATTCAGGAAAGACGTTTTTGATTTTAAGATGTAATTTGGACACAATTGCCTGCTGACTGTATTGTTCATCTAAGAAAGGCTTGGCCTAAGTGAGTGGTCTGAGATCTTTCTCAACATAAGCAATCCAGCAGTACCTGGGAGTCACTGAATTCATACTCCCAGGCTGCATTATTTCCTTCAAATTGCAGCTATGAACTAAAGAACTCCCTGAAGAATTGTGAACTGATTGTGTAATTAAGAGGTGGCTCTTCATTATCCCTTCTTGTTTCTTAAATTGGACTCATGGGCAGCTATTCCGGGAGCACAGAGGAAAAAAGAAAAGCAGTGAACAGTCTATTTCTTATTCTCAACCTGGGTATATAGAGTACAGGAGAGAAGTCTCTGATTGAGCTTATATTAGCCTGAAACAATAAAACACACATGAGCCAGCATGTGAATATATTTTCTTTATGGAACCTTAAAATCACATACACTAAAAATGAACAAATCTTAGGGACTATAACTGGACAAAGCATTTTTTTATAATAGGGACGTATCTGATGAGCAACCCATGCATTTATAGGCCATATAAATTTTTATTATTAATAAAGATGTTTTCAGAGGGCCTACACACAGTCTAGGACAAATAAACATGACTCACAGGAGAATTAATGCCTCTTATAAATAGTCCTTAACTAGCAAGTGATGAGTATGTAAGAATTGTGTGTTTTACACAGGCTGCCTGGGTTTTATCCCCTGTACTGGGATGAAGCTGCAGTTGACCATAAACAGGAATTAGATTGATCACACAAATTTTATCAGCTCCCTTCCCTTTCCTACCCTGCTTAACAACTCTCCTACCACTATTTCCCTCACTTTACAAATAAGTTACTTGCAACTAAATCTTCATTTCAGGATCTGATTTCCTATAGACTCTTCCTACAGGGAGTTCTAATCTCTAGGGGCAATTATATTTTCCATTGTAAATCAAGTATCTGGTGTTCTGGTTTACACATTGGCATTCTACAAGTTAGGTTCATGGAAGTGCTTTCCCCCTGAGACACAGGCAGCTCTGTATGGACAGACAACATAAAGAGTGTGGACATGCAGAGCTGAGAATTAATCAAACATTATCACTTTGTGAGATGTCATCTCACTTACCCAGTTAACATTTGACTTCATCTAATAGATTTGTTTGCATCTTTGATTTCCTCCCCAAAGTTGGAGATAAAGAGAGATTCGTGGAGGAAAGATATATAATTTAATGCATATAGAAATGTAACAAGTTTCTATAATATTGACCATTTCAACCAAGTCACCAAAGAAGTTGGGCAAGGAGGCTCATATGAGTAAGCACAGCATGTCAGAGAGAAAAGGACAAGGATGATAAGAACAGGGACATGTATGTTGTACTTTCTAGGTGCCAGGCAGGCTTTACAGATATTGTTGTGAAAATTAAATGAGTTAATAGATGCCATGCGCTTAACAAACAAAACAGACTAAAGTCTACTGAGATATTTCTGGTAACTAATACCAGTAAGGAGAGGGTTTAACCTAAAAATGATATTGACATAATGTGAAAACAGTTTGGTGTCATGATTGGGAAAACTGTGGCATAGGGACAGATCTGTGAACTGAACATCAGAGCTCAAATCCTGGATCTGACACTTTTTAGTTATGGGACATTAACTCCCCCAACCTCAGTCAATTTTCCTTTTATGAAATGAAAAGAATAATCTCTTAGAGTGGCTGCCATGATGAAGGCGTAAGATAAACCACTCAGCACAACAGATATTTAAAAGGACGCTTTCCCTTGCCTCACAGAGAAAGGAAAGAAGAAGATATTCTTGGTTAAATTGCAAGTATTTTGTAGTTGGTTAGAGAGAGAATAGGTGGACAGATGATAGAGACAGATGTTGGATGGATGATGCCCCAGCCTTCCATAAGTAAAACATGAATTCTGTTTTTTTCCAATAACAGTGTCCAATGCATTATAATAATTATCTCAAAGCAATAGAATTATATTCTTTTAATGTGATTCTGTATCCAGTTCACTTCAATTGTACTGAAAACCTGATGGAGCTACAATCCGCAGGCATCAATCTCTACAACATGAAGTTTCAAGTCTGAAATATCAATAACAAGCATAATGTTGACCAACATTCCTTCCCCTGGATGGTGCTGAGGTCAGCATCTATTTCTGGGACTCTCATTTTTGGGGTTACCTTTGCTGACTACCCTCTATCTGCCTTATTCTTTCTCTGGACACTGTTACTTTCAGTAAGCTCTTGTTTGGGTCCGAGAGCCATTATGGAAACGGAGTGTATATCTCTTGTGATTTCGTACTTCAATTTAGAGTGTAATCTTACTACCTTTTTTTTCAAGTTTGTGGATGATACTTTCCCCAGTCAGTGCTTATTAATAAAATCATAAAAATCATGTTAAAGTGTTGACTTGTGGCAAAACAAGTCACTTATCATAACATATCACAGTACTTAGCTTAGTTTAGACTCAATGATCTTTTATTGATAGTGTACCTGGTACTTTCACAATCCCCCCCTCAAATAAAGAGTTCAAAGAAATACAAGTCATTATAAACCTAATTGTATATTGCTTTTAGGTCCAATGCTATACTGCTATTTGTTTATCTTCTTTTAAAGAGCAATTTAAAAAATACGAGTAAATAGAATAAGAAAGGCAGGTGAAGCAAGTTGCATGCAGAGAGCATGAGCCTTTGAGAAATGTTATTACCTCCACAGACCACACCATCGAGGTCCTCACAGCGGCGGTCATCACACTCGCACATCTTGCCATACACCCTGCGATCTCCTGGAGGGTAGCAAGTGCATTTGCCGCACTCGCATTTACCTGGAGAGCACAGAGACAGCACACTCATTAAGAGAGCCACAGAATCGCCAAGGCTTTCAAGGAAACAAGCATAATCTTAAACCCAAATCTCCCAGACCAGTTCTAGGCTGTGTCTGATAATAGGCAAATTACTTCTCTAATCTCGCTCAGGTAAGCTGAAGGTCAGGAACAAATGCCGAGGAGGTCGGGAGTTGAAGTGACAATCCCTGGCTCGGAAGTCACTCATATCTGCTACTCTCTTTTTGTTTCATTCACCTTTGAAGAATAAATCAGTTATGGAACTCTCTGGCTTTCTTATTCAACTTAGATTGATGATACCATTTAAAATAACTGAATAAACTATATATATATTTGATATAATTTAGCATATTGTGTTTTTTAAAATATTTTTATTTTTGAGGGTCTATCTGCCCCATGAGAAAAAAAAATTCATAAGGAACATTTCAGTGTGATATTTTAGTGATTATATGTAGCCAAGTTTATAGTTTATAGAACTCATTTTAACATGAAACATATGTCAAAGAACATGATCTAAACATCTTTGTTCTTCTTGACTTAAAATTTAAAAGTATAAATATTTCTGGAATGAATTTGGTTCATAGTTTGGGAATCCCTTAACTAGTACCATTAGGATGATTTTCATTCTTATTTTTGAACTGTAACTGTGTCAAACACTATAATTCCTTACATTACATCATTTTGTTTTCAAATACCACACATTGAATAGCATTATTACTACCACTTTACTAAATGGAGGCATATTGAAGCCAAGTAACTTTCAATGTGAATCAGCTAGAAAGGAATAGATTCAAAATTTCTATCCATTCCCATTAATGTTAAAGTTTGCACATGTAACCATTAAACCATATTGCATCTTAATATACTCATATCGCAGCATCAGGAGCCTATATGAGAAACCAAATTCTTTTGTACGAGGGATTGGTACTGGTTTGCCAGAAATTCGGTTGGGTGACAGTGCTCCAAGACATCTGTTACTCTCTGTCATTAGCCCAATCATCATAATTACACACCCACTGAAATGATCACAAGACGCTTCAGGGCTGACCCTGCAATGTTGTTAGTCATTCTGTTGCTGAACTTGTATCTTGTTAAGGAAATTCTGAGTTGGTAGATGATGGAGGAAAGAAAAATTAGTATTTAGGATCATATAATTTCAGAGCTGTAATTAAAGATAATCTAACGCAGTGACTCATAATCTTTTCTGGCAGAAGTGGTGAGGTCACAGTCCCTTTGAGAGGCTGGTGGAAGATATGGCAATACATAGTGTTGTTCTGGCTGTCCGTCAATAAATCTCTCTTTCTACTTGGAGGTATTCCTAAATTCAGCTGGAGGCAGGACCATCCCCCCACAACCACCACCACCGAAGTTAACCTCTTCTTATGCCCTGGAGGCCAGAACAGGGACACACCAGACGCTCTGGGTCAAGGCTTTGATTCTGAGGCTGAAAGCAACGGCACAGAGCCTGTGGCAGAGTGGCAAGTGCCAAAGCACAGCAGTGAGCATCCAGGAGCAGCGGAGCTGAGCCCACAGCAGCTGGCATTCAGAAGTGATGGCAGCAGGAATTGAATCTTGGCAGTGCCTTGCTTCTCCAGGTTGCTGCAGGAGCTGATTGTTCAAAGCTGCATTCTGAGCCTAAACCTTTGATAGAATCTTTTCTAAAATCCCAGTTAATGAAGTTGGTCTCTGTTGTTTGCAAACAAGAACCCTAACTAGTAGAACTCAGATCTCTCCCTGGACAAATATACAAGCACACATCTTTTTTTTTTTTTTTTTTTTTTTTTGTAAAATGTCAGGAGGATCTATGACTTCTTTCAATTTATTTAATAGAAGAGGAAACTCAAGCATACTGGGGCTAAATGATTTGTCCAAGGCCAGATAACTATATATTAGCAGTGCTAGTGATAGAACCTTGATTTTCTGAGGTCCAGCCACCTTATGATGTGCATAAACATTTATCTGCCTCATAGGTGGATGTGCAAATAATTCCAATGATGCAGACTGTGTGAAGAAAAAGACAAACTATAGGACCATCAGCAGTATGGTTCAGTATGGTTAACTATTCCTTCATGGACAGACATGGGAAACTACAATAATCAATCGCATTATTCCAAAGAGGTAAGCACTCCCAGTTACAAAGGCAGAATCTGTTTTTAAGTTTCAGGTTGTATGTATTTATGGTCATTCCCACAAGTCACTACCAACTTCGTTTCAGTCACTACTATATACCTGCAAGATATATTTCCAAACTTTCTTCAAATTCCAAAGTAAATTTCATCAAACCCATGACACTTGCAACCCCCTACTCACCTACCTTCACAAATGCAAAAGTAGCTGTACTTCGTATGTGTCCTCATGATGTTTTGAATCAATATTTGTCAAATGGATGTATTTAAACAATAATCATGTGTCAACAGTTTAGTAATATTCACACACTAGTAAGAGTTTTAATGGTAGAATGTGAATTTGAAATGGCACATCTCTCTCAGAACACAGATTCATTTTCAATTGCCTGAAGACCTCCCTTTGTGTTTCCCAAAGTTAGATCAATTAAATATGTTCCACAGCAAATGCATCATCTCTAGTCACAACCTACTCTCTTCCTGGGTCCTTTATCTGGAAGGATGTCACCATCATCCAATCTGTCACTGAATCTAAAAAAACCTGATAGCATATTTGATTCTTTCCTCTTTTACTTAACTATTCTCCTTTCAATTTGAAATTTCAAAAAATCCACTTTCTTAAACCATACATATGATTATGTAATTGCCTTGCATAAATCCTTCTGATGGCATCATGTGACCTTCAAAGCAAAGATCAAATTCCTCAGTAGAGTCCCCCACACTTGATCCTGCTCACCTTTCCAAGCATATCTCTAGCGATCACTGTGCACTCATGTTCAGAGACTGTGCTAATATGCCCTATTTCTTCTCTCTGTTGTGCACTCTACCACCTTCTCTATAAAATCTTACCCAGTGTTTAATAGCTAGCTCAGCTCTATTTTTCCCTCTGAAACCTTCCTTGCCATCCCTGTTTGGTTACCTGGGAAAATTGGGCTCCCTTTCTCTGATCCCATAGCTCTTTGTCCACACCACTAGTAGAGCACAGAATGAAAATATTATAATAGATAAGCAAATGACTAGTCTCTATCAAAAATAGTCATATCTGTCTGGTCCAGACTAATAGTGAGATTTGTATCTTGTTACCAGTCAAGTAAATTCTCCACTGATGTAATAGAAAGACACTGACATATAGATTTATTGACTTTTTTCCCAAATTAAATTGAGTCCAATCTTTTTCCTTTATTTACAAAATGATATTATTATTATTTGGATGATTATTTTAATGATTCGAAGTTATAACCATGGCCTCTCAAATGACTACCAAATTAATAATCTCATAAATAACAAAGAAGGATAACGTAAGTCTGCACTTCTAGCACTAAGTGCTATTTTATACAACATATTCAGAGAAAAATATAAAAAAAGAGATACTCAAATAAATAAAAATAAAGCAAGTAATTTGTAAGAAGACAATTCTGGAGCAAGAAGAAAAGAGGATAGAAAAAACTGTGTGAGAAGAAATTAATTCAGTCAACATCATCAATATCATCCAACCAAAATTTATCTGAAATTTACTCTATCCTAAGTTTGCCTACTTCTATTAAATTTTAATAAAGTAGATGATCTTTAGACACATACACAAATCAGTCCCATGATATTACTTTATAAATGATTACAATCCCTGTAAATTATATTTTAAAGCTCAAAAGAAGAATAATGAACTAAGGCAGATATCTAGAAGTTCTGACCAACAGTGCTTTTACTTAAACATTTCACATTTGACATGTAACTTCTGTAAAATATAGAAAAACTCTAAGTCAAGACATTGACAGAAAGCACAGTTTACAACTCTATGCACAGCTAATTATTTTAACAAATAAAATATATCTCATTTAACTTAAACCTCTTTAACTGTATACTTACCCACAATCATTAAGATATAAGATAAACAACTTTTTTCAAAGACATGCATATGTTTGCCTTAGAGTATATTTTTCTATAAAAAATAGATTAAAATTTAAAAATCCAGATTCACTTACTATGAAATATTCCTTGTATCAAATTCAACAAATATTTATTAAGAATATATTTTGTGTGGAGTATTTGAATAGATATGGGAGTGTACTGCTAAAGAAAAGTTATATTAATTCGGCAATTCCTGCTACTCTATAGAGCTTATCTAATTTCACTAAGTATTAACTACAAATAAACATGTTGGAGAAGGATTATATTACCAATGTTAACCACTTCGTTGTTCTGAGCAACATTACTGACTTCATAATTTAAAAAAAGTACTACTAGGATAAAACTAAAAGGTTAACAATAATGGTTTTATAAAATATATAGATAGGTAAAATTTCCTAAGACACTCTCTCATTTTAAACTTTGGCCCAATCTTATATATAACTATCTCAAAATCTTAAAAACATTCATTAAAATAAGGAAGCTTAAAATTTCAGAATGTCATGCATATTTTTAAACAATATTACATGCATTGATTATTTTATATGTAGAAATAATTCTTGCAATAAAATTCTGTTCTGGGTTTATCAAATAATAAGCACTTGCATATTTGTCTGAATCCATTCCAGACCTCACCTATAGATCATAGCACACTCTCACGCTAACAATAGACTGCCTTCAAAAATTATCTCAACATAATCCATGAAAAATATATTATCATATTTTTCTATATATATAGGTGACATATGGGAGAGATTAAACTTCAAAGCAGTTAAAAGAAGAAGCAGGAGAAGGAGGAGGAGGAGGAAAAGAAGGCTTAGCTAGAACTACCTCATTCTAATAGGAGAAAGCCGTGGTGGTTGTGGTTGGGGAGAGTAACACAGGAACTATGCAAAATTTAGATGAGGAAAAGAAAAGGAAAGCACCTTGTGTTGCAAAAGTACAGCTGCAAAGTTT